ACCTTAAAGGGTTAGTTCACCCAAAAATGAAAATTAAGTCATTAATTACTCACCCCCATGCTGTACCAACCCCGTAAGACCTTCGTTCGTCTTCGGAACACAAATGAAGATATTTTTGATTAAATTTGAGAGCTGTATAACTACCACATTGGCTCCTAAGGGACTGCCTCTTGACGGCCCAGAAAGTCAATGAAGAAAATGTTTAAATATCCCAAGTGACTACCGTGGCTCAACTACATGTTTATCAAGCGACGAGAATACTTTTTGTGCGAAAAAACAAACAAAAATGACGAGTTTATTCGACTATTCCTTTTCTTCCTTGTAGGCCAGAAACGAGACTTCCTTAGATTTCCACGACGCATGCGCGAGAATTGCGATCTCCTTACACTACTGATCAGTTCAGTTCTCGCGCATGCGTCGTGGAAATCTAAGGAAGTCTCGTTTCTGGCCTACAAGTAAGAAAAGGATGAATAAACTCGTTATTTTTGTTTGTTTTTTCGCACAAAAAGTATTCTCGTCGCTTGATAAACATGTAGTTGAGCCACGGTAGTCACTTGGGATATTTAAACATTTTCTTCATTGACTTTCTGGGCCGTCAAGAGGCAGTCCCTTAGGAGCCAATGTGGTAGTTATACAGCTCTCAAATTTAATCAAAAATATCTTTATTTGTGTTCCGAAGACGAACGAAGGTCTTACGGGGTTGGTACAGCATGGGGGTGAGTAATTAATGACTTAATTTTCATTTTTGGGTGAACTAACCCTTTAAGTCCCTGCGGTCTTTCTTAGGTTTCTGTGGGTATTATCGACGCTTTATAGCAAACTACTCTGCGATCGTTAAGCCCCTCACAGAGCTGAAAAAGGGCTATGCACCCACCCAGAGTGGAAGGAAGTAATCCCCAGACAAGACCAAAACATATTTTAAAGACCCAGAACCATTCAGTGACCGATGGGATCAGTCTTGTACGGATGCATTCAACCGTATCATTCAGTGTCTGCTCAATGCACCTGTACTGGCATTTGCTGATGCTAGTAAGCCATATGTCCTGCACACAGATGCAAGTTTCAAACGGCTTGGTGCAGTACTTTATCAGGAACATCCAGAAGTGTTAAGACCGGTGGCGTTCGCCAGCAGAAAGTTGAGCTCTCCTGAACAGAGATACCCTGTACACCAACTAGAGTTCCTTGCGTTGAAATGGGCTGTCGTTGATAAATTCCACAACTACCTCTATGGAGCCAAGTTCACCGTATGCACCGACAATAACCCTTTGACGTATGTGCTTACCACGGCCAAACTGAATGCAACGGGTCATTGTTGGTATGCAGCCCTGGCCACCTATGATTTTGACGTAAAGTATAGCCCTGGAAAAACAAACATTGACGCTGACTTGCTGTCTCGCAACTTACCTGAAGACGGGGAGGGGAATGGCATGTCTCAGAACATAGTGAAGTCCATATGTCGGCGGATGGAAGTCGATGTATCCCCAAATTCGTCACCAGCCTGTATTCCGGAAGTGTATGCCTTTCCATCTCAGTTACACTTCAGCACAATAGAGAAACTATCAAAAGCAGACTTGATAACTGCCCAGAAGAGGGATGCTGTGATCGGACGTGTGAGAGGGTAACTCAACTCTTAAGAGCAAGATTCTACTGGCCAAAAATGGCTCATGATACAGAAGAATATGTGCGAAATTGTGGACTGTGCATCACTGTGCTACACCAAATCACCAGCAGTGGTCCTATGGACCTTGTGTGTATTGACTTTTTGTCAATGGAACCCGATTCCAGTGGCATCAGTAACATCCTGGTAGTGACCGATCACTATACCAGATACGCACAAGCCTTTCCTGCAAAGAATCATAAAGCCCTGACAGTAGCTAAGATCCTAGTCGAAAAGTATTTTGTGCACTATGGCCTGCCTGTTAGGATTCTTTCTGATCAGGGAAGAGACTTTGAGTCGAAACTGATAAGAGAACTGCTGACAACCTTGGGCATACGGAAATCATGAACGACTCCGTATCACCCTCAAGGGGATCCCCAGCCGGAGCGCTTTAACCGTACGCTGCTCTCTATGCTGGCTACTTTAGGCCAAGAGAAGAAGAGATCCTGGAGTCAGCATATAGCCTCATTAGTGCACGCGTACAACAGCACAAAAAGTGATGTGACAGGATACTCTCCTTACTACTTAATGTTTGGCAGGGAAGCTATACTACCTGTAGACCTGTGCTTTGAAACGGAAAAAGATGGAACTGAGGAGAGGAACCATTTCCAGTACGTTGAAAGCCTGAAACGTGACCTTCAAAGAGCCTATCAGCTGGCAAGTCAAGCTGCTGACAAAACTCACTTACGGAACAAAAAGGTCAGTTTTCAGAACATACAGGAATGAGATCGTGTTCTTCTAAAAAATCTAGGGCTCAAAGGGAAACACGATGGAAAACCGATGGAGTTCCATTCCATATGTAGTGGTAGGAAAGATGCCAAACTTATCTGTATTCCATGTGAGACCTGAGGGAGGCAAAGGTGGAGTAAAAACAATTCATCGTGACCACATCTTACCTATTGGGCAATCTGTGAGGATCCCAGTGGAGCAAGCCTATATGAAGAAACCCCTGTGAGACCCAGAACACGTTCAACCCGAAGAAGACAAAAACAACTGATCCTGAGTCAAAGAGAAGTCACAGAGATTACGGATTCCTCATCTGAAGGGGAGTGTGATCATACCAGTATACCATACCGGGAGTATGTGGAACGTCTACTGAAGAGGAGAGAAGTGTCCAATGGAGTCTCAGAGCATTCACAGTATGAAGACGTCATAGAACCAAATACTATGCAGTCAGCTGAGGAGCTAGAGTCCAACATGGAAGACGACGAAGAAGGTCAAGTGGTGACAGATTCGGATCCTTATGATTCTGGAACAGATCTGGATGCTGGAAGATGTTCTGTCTATGCACCTAAAGAAAAACTGATCTCTAGAACAAAAGTTAATAGAGTACCCAGACCAAGAATAACTGAGAAAAGACCAATAAAACCAGTGTTTAGACTTACCTATGATAAACGTCAAGCGAGCAACCACTTACCATAGTTCATCGAGGAGTAATTATTAAACTGGAAAAACACTAGGTTTCAACTTAGTTCATACTTAGGAGCTCATAGTGATGAATAAATAAAATAGAAAGACGCACCGATCAGCACTACCACAGCTGTGAGTTGTTTTTTTCTGCGCCACGGCGCGAAGCGACCATTGTGTTTAAGGTCTCCCTGCTCTCGAGCAACACTACAGGCCTGCATCTGATCCTCCTCTGACTGTTGGGGTATTCATTTTATTTCATTGAGTGGCCATTTAGTTATATTTGCCGGCTTCTTTCATTTTGGGAATTTAATTGTGGTTTTATGTGAATTGCACTGTTGATATTTGAACTATATGTACATGTTATATATATTATTCCAGTAAATAGTTCAAACGTATTTTTGTAGTAGTTTTTCATTACATTGGGTTTAAGATACTGATCATTTGATGCTTAATGTAGGATAATATCCTTGAGTTTACAGTATTTTGGTTTAAAGTGACAGTGTTTATAAATTCTGACTGATATTTAACTTGATGCTTATTGCCTTAAAGTGTAGATATAGTCATCTATAAAGGGTGGAATATTAATGTAATTTTAAAACCCTCTTTAACCAAGGACTTGAGATAGCTGCATACAATTAGTTTTTGACTTTAATTTGGTTATAGAGAGACTATTGCCATTTTCCTTCCAGTTAAAATCTAACATTAAAGTAACTGCTAACAAATAGGTATTAGGGAATTACATTAGAGCATTAATTAATATTAGAGAGGGAGATCTCTTGCAAAATAGGAATTCGGGGAGCGCACTCCACAATAATAGCTAGACACGCTAGGGGGCGCTACATTTCTCTCAAAAAAAAACAAAAAACAAAACAACAAAAAAACAACAACAACAATAACAACCCTGTTGTCATTGTTCAGGGGTAGGCAAGGCCACAAAGAATCCATCTGTTGTATTCTTCATTTCACAGGAAACGAAGGACACATTTTGAGGCCACAGCCTTCGAATTGAGACAGCCTTTGCTACGCAGCAGTGATGCAATCAGCTTTCTAATGTGCCCTTCGTAGGATGCAGCCTCTGATCTGGGCAGTTATAAATGTCTTAATTGCACAACTAATGTAATGGCACTCAGCGCACATACATACAGACAGTTAATATAAATACAAATATTTTACCTGCAGCAGTCAAGTGTTTATATTCTCATTTAACTGTTTTTCTCTTACTGATCATATTTCATATCTTGGTGAGTTTACATTTTTAAATGAATTTAACTGATAAAAAGGATTGCTGCACACGTTTGTGCTCTTTTTCCAGTCTTTTAAAATAGTTGAATGAATGAATGCATGGCACATGCTTTAAATAAATATAACAATGTTAAATATTTAATTAAACTTAAACCGTAAATGCACACAGCATAGAGGGGAATGACAGCGCTACTATGAATATTAGCAAGAATTTTGACATAAACATGTACATCAGATACAGTGAAATGATTGATTGAAAAATAACAGAATAACGAATAAAATATTTAATACAAATAAACAGGTTCGTACTGATCTTATTTATCGGGTTTCACACTCTGACGAAGCTCAGTGCAAGTAATCCATTCAATAGGATATGTAACCTTAACTTTATTTCTGTATCTGATTTAAATTGGACAGAATAAATTGGACAGAATGCTAAACAAGTGGTAACTGACAAAAATAACTTGTTAACCCTTACAGTTCAATTTAGTGCTGCAAACATCAATGACAGTTTTAACTTGTCAATACTGGCAAATGACCATGGTCTAAGCGGGATAATCCACAGCTCACTGTGAATTAAACAATTTGAATGCACTCCATGGAGGCAACTGTCCAACACATTGTGCATTAAAATAGTTTAATCTACAGATACCCGTGGATTATCCCTTAATTAAAAAGCACACACATTTACCTATGAGGATATTTCAGGGCATAGGCAGTAGACACATATCCTCCGAAATCATGGCCCAGGAGAATTATATGTTCCAACCCTTCTGCCTTTCTCCAGTCCTCCAAGGATTCTACAAACTGGTCCTCTGCATCCTTGGCATCCTTTCCAAAGGTTGGTCGACTGCTGCGTCCAAAACCCAGCATGTCCAGTGCATACACGGGCCTTGCTTCCCCTGCAAGGGCAGACAGGTTTTTCACCCAGAGACCCACTCCACCCCCAAAACCATGTAGTAGCACTAAAGGAACCTGAAGGTGTTGAACCCCAGAGGCTGAGAGGTCAGATGAGCTCTCTGTTTCATTAAAGCCCAGAGTCCAAATGTAGTTGCCATAAGAAATTGGAACATGTCCTTGAGTAAACTTCACTTTGATGGCTGAAAATACAATATGTTGAATAGTTTGTATGGAGATCAGAATCTTTCTAGTAGTTACACTCTTACTCATATGAAGAGTTCAGATGCAAAAGCCTCTAAGTGCCATTTGAAATTTTCTTCTAAAATGATCATTTTATCAAGCTTGTATATTTAAGTTCAGTAATTTCACTTAAATGGCAATAAATTACTGAACTTAAATATACAAGCTTTATAAAAATGGTCATTTTAGAAGAAAATTTCAAATGGCATTTAGAGGCTTTTGCATCTGACCTCTTCATATACTTACGCTTCAGGATTCTGTCTTCTGATTTCATAAGATGGGAGAGTGAGGTGGGACACCAGGACGGCAGCCAACTGGAGATACAACTCGATCTATAATGTACAGTGAACAAATGCCCATTTGACAAGAAGACATAAGGAAGCCAATAACTCTGATACTCTTGTATCAGAACATTTTCCTTCTGGTATTTCATAATGTTTTTTTACATGATCCCTACTTTTATTTATCTGCATTTTACAAATGTCATGATGACAATCCTGAACCTAAATGTTGAAGGATCTAGGATTCTCAGTAACAACCTGTGTCTGTCTGAGCCACCATCTGAGTTGTGTTTTATTTTCTTTGTTTTATTTGGTTTAATTGTATATTCATTTATGAATTAGTCAGTTACAACACATTCTCATCCCAAAAAGTCATATAACTGACGTTTTGGGACGTCTTTTGACCATACGTCAATATTCGCCTTTTTAGGGTACCCTTAAACGTCGGTAGATGGCGATCCCGGGCCGTCATACAAATGACGCTTTACCTTTAACGTCAGTTAGGTTTAGGGTTAGGTTTAGGGTTAGGTTTAGGTCTGGGGTAGAGTTAGGATCCCATAACCTCATCATTGACGTTTAAGGGGGCCCTAAAAAGGCGAATATTGACGTATGGTCAAAAGACGTCCCAAAACGTCACTTATATGACTTTTTGGGGTGAGACTGCGCTGTCAGTTATGTTGTCATTTTATTCATCATTTAATAATTTAATTCACATTTATATTCGTATCATTATTTTTTAATAAATTATTTAGTTATGTAATTTTATGTTTTTACATTTTATATTACTTATTATTTTACTTGATCTTGCAATGTTTTTGTTGTTTAATCCTTGTCTTGCATGTAATCTTATGAATGTGCAGTAAACAAGCAGTAATTTTCCATTATTTTTGCTGTGGTGACGCTTGTTAGATTTGTGCGTGCAAGAGAGGTCCAACATGTCTGAGAGGTCTGAGTATTGAAACTTCCAGACGAAGTCTGAGCATTGAGACATTCAGTCGAAGTCTGAACATTGAAACAACCAGACAATGAAACACATGCAACTAAGTTTATTCAATAAATTCTGCTCTTTTTTATCTGATCTATCTGAAATTTCTGATGCGGAGATCTATCCAATCGAACAATTTTAACACTTTCTGCCTAAAAACTAAAATCTAAATTCTTAAAATGATTAAAAAAATATAAATAAATAAATGGGCTATATAAATGTAAAAAAAGAATAATAATAATAATAATGGAAAAGGTACTTTAAATTTTTTAATAATTTAAGAAAAGATGTATTATATTTATAAAATACATAAGAAATAATATTTTGGATGCACAAAAAGCATCGACTACTTCTACTTCTACTACAGTTAGTTCCACTTAGTGTATCCATTTATTTCATAAACATACACATAATTGTTTACATGCACTGCTTACCTCCTATCTGTAATTACAAATTCCTCTGGATTTTTTCTCATTGCTCCTCTTTTATCACTGATATTTTTGTGAGAATGTGATCTTGCTACACAGGCAGTGCAGATAGGGGAGTGGTCAAATAATATCCCCAAGGGCCAAAGAAGAACCTTTCACCCACTCTTGATTAAAGCACATATTCATTTTCATTTATAGAGGATAGAGGTCATATCTCTGTAGGGCCACAAATGCCATTTGCCATTATGTATTTGCTATTATTACTTTTTTTTTTTTTTTCTATGACTTGTGTCCTCCAACACCAATGTTTTTGAAAGTCTATGTTATCAATTTTTTCCCCCTCTATTTTATATAAAGTTGATCACAATGTTCCCGGTTAAAATCCCACATTGCCAGAAGTTAAGGTTGTTATTTTATGCTGTGGATTATGTTTTAATCATAAAAATCACAGAACTGGTTTTCACAATACCAAAATTAATTATGTATTGGCATATTACAATATAAATTAACAATGAATTAATGATATATCACTGATTCTAGATATCTTATATACAGTTCTGAGTTCAAGCACTTTTAGTTTTTTTTAAGTATATTTCTGATCCAGTTATTTTTTTAAAAACTATAGTAAAAATAGCCTATACGTTTATTTTTGAAAACATCCTCATATCATGTTTTTTTTACAAGTGCCTATTACTTTTGCACTCACACACTTTAGCAAAGCAAACCACACACACACACACACACACACACACACACACACACACACACACACACCAGACTGATCTCATGAAGTAGCGTGTGTATGACACGCCAATTCGTATTTCCATTTTTGGCGTGCTATCAAGACGCATAATCGCCTTTCAGCGTGTTTATGAACGCCGTTGACTTAACGTTATATAAATATATGACTTACCTCAACCCCGTCCCTAAACCTAACCGTCACTGGGGTTAATGGCATTTATGACTGTTCCCTTACCATCCTAGGTAAAAAAAAAGATATGACTTACCTCAACCCCATCCCTAAACTTAACCGTCACTGGGGTTAATGGCATTTATGACTGGAGATTTTACTGCGTGTACAGACAGTACGGATGTTAATGGCGTAGACATATACGCATACACGCGGATAGCTCAGAATGCGTAGAGATAACACGCCACCTGACTCGAAAGTGGCGTATATGTTTACGCAAAAGTCATGATGTCATGTTGCACACACACAAGAAAAAAAGATTAGAGAGAGAAGAATTTTATTATTTTTTATCAGACATATTGAAATAATTGTATGTTCAATCAGACAGTATTAATTTAAATTTAAAATTTAAATTTAAAAAAAAACTCTCTATTGTCCATGGTTCTGGGACGGACACATGGACACACACACACACACACACACACACACACACACACACACACACACACACACACACACACACACACACACACACACACACACACACATTCTGACGCAGGCCCCCTAATGGGGCCCACAAGTTTTTTTATGCGTTGTGGGATCCACCCTTTGCAGTGGTCCTACACTGCTGTAAAAAATAACATTAGATCTAAAAAAAAATCTAAATCATTAATATCACTTCAATTTGACAAATTTCTAAAGTTTTGTCCAAAAAGGTATTTGGCCCCTTGTGGGCCCCGTTTCTAGGATTGCCGACTTGTGGGGTCTGCCCACATACACACATACATACCAAGTTTTTATATGTTAATGGGGCCCAAGGTCACTATCTGCAGCTGCTGACACCAGCCTTTATTATTACTCCCAGTTTCCTTATTTTGGACTAAAATAGTTTTGTAATGAGTAATTATAATAATTAAAATGAGTAATTATAGTAATTATGTATATATGTGAAACTTTCCATCTGCCTTTACAGATAACAAGACATACGACTTTAAAGACAGTTTTATGACAACTGAAATGACCAGTTTTATTTTAATGACAGTTTATGCCACACAGTTGTCAGTCCAACTTTTTATGAAATGATTAAAACAAATTTTAGTTTTTAAACAACAAACAAATTACATTTTAGAAAGTTTTAACAAATTTTGAAATCATGATACACAGATATTTAAAGAAATGAAAAATCCTTGAAATGTGAAATATTTAACATATTCCCAACACACTTTCAGTGTTCAGGCCCTAAAATAAATAAAAAAAAGATATTAAAATAAACAAGAATAAATCAATATCCATCCAACATCCATCCATATATCCAACATCTACCCTACATCCATCCATCCAACATCTACCCTTTATTCATCCATCCAACATCTAGCCTACATCCATCCTTCCAACATCTATCCTACATCCATCCTTCCAACATCTACCCTACATCCATCCTTCTAACATCTACCCTACATCCATCCTTCTAACATCTACCCTACATCCATCCTTCCAACATCTACCCTACATCCATCCTTCCAACATCTATCCTACATCCATCCTTCCAACATCTACCCTACATCCATCCTTCTAACATCTACCCTACATCCATCCTTCTAACATCTACCCTACATCCATCCTTCCAACATCTATCCTACATCCATCCTTCCAACATCTACCCTACATCCATCCTTCCAACATCTACCCTACATCCATCCTTCTAACATCTACCCTACATCCATCCTTCCAACATCTACCCTACATCCATCCTTCCAACATCTACCTTACATCCATCCTTCCAACATCTACCCTACATCCATCCTTCCAACATCTACCTTACATCCATCCTTCCAACATCTACCCTACATCCATCCTTCCAACATCTACCCTACATCCATCCTTCCAACATCCATCCTACATCCATCCAACATTCATTACCTCAGTTCCAGTGCTTTTCACAGTAGACTTTTCTTCTCAGGGCTGTAATGTGATTTTTAACATATATTTAACTGCTTTCCAGTCTCTATTTCTGAGAGCTTGAGGTTCTGCAGTAATGCAGCGTTGACATTCTTCTTTTCCAGGAACTTGATTCATTGATTCTTGATTCAAGCCCCAAAAATTCATCCATCCATCTAATATCCACCCTACATCCATCCAACATTCATCCAGCGATCATCTATCCTACATCCATCCAACATTCATCCATCCATCATCTACTCTACATCCATCCAACATTCATCCAGCGATCATCTATCCTACATCCATCCAACATTCATCCATCCAACATCTACTCTACATCCATCCAACATTCATCCAGGCATCATCTATCCTACATCCAGCCATCATCTACTCTACATCCATCCAACATTCATCCAGGCATCATCTATCCTACATCCACCCATCTCTCAAAAATCCATCCAACATCCATCCATCCATCTATTCAAAAATAAAATTAAATAAGTGCTGTGAAGAACTGTGAAATGTGTTAAAAAAAAAATGAAAATTTGAAGGCCACTGGACACCCATAAAACCTGAGCAAACCCCTACAACAAGGTTACAACAGAACACAACCAAAGACTAAAATTTTAAGATCCTACCTCAAATCTTTTGGTTTTACCTCAGTTCCAGTGCTTTTCACACTAGACTTTTCTTCTCAGGGCTGTAATGCGATTTTTGACATAATATTTAACTGCTTTCCAGTCTCTATTTCTGAGAGCTTGAGGTTCTGCAGTAATGCAGCGCTGACATTCTTCTTTCCCAGGAACTTGATTCATTACAATAAATCTCCTCAAATGTGTGTCCACGGCAGCACACTCGTCTGGGGTCCAGCTTCTTTTGACGGCCGTTTGTTTTCCTATGTAGGCAAAAACACAAAACATTGTAGGTTTTCTTTTATAAATAAATTTTTATCTTACTTAACCCTGTAAGACCCACTGTTTCAGAATTACATCAATTGTGGTTATTCCCCAAAACCCCCTTTGTCTTTTTTAATTGTTTGTTTTCCACATCAATATGATCTGTGGGTCCTACATTTTATTCCCACCACGTAATTGAATCCAGGATTTGTGTACAAAGCCCACCCTTAAGTCAAGAAATGACACATCCAACAACTTTCTGATCAAGCAACATGCCTTTGAATTACTGGACTGGATTCATCTTCAAGTAAGTAAAATGCTTGGAATATGTTTTTCTGTGTTTATTACAGTGTCTAGAGCAAGGACATTTACAGTAAATGTTGAAAATATGCCCTACATTTTGTACATTTTTGAGCTTGTTTTATAAATAATTTTACAATTTTACAATAATTTATAAGAAATTACAATGTTGGATGAGAGTGGCAGTCGTAATTGCCCTGTATTTAAAGGAGTCATAACCTGCAATTTTCACTTTTCCACGAGAATCAATGTATGTTAAGATTGCCTAACGATTATACATTGCAAATTGACAACGAAACCTAACAAAGAAATTCAGAAATTCTGTTTGTACAAAATGTTCTCATCAATTTATAGTCAAAGTGCTTATTATCATTAGGCCAATAACCTTTATTTAACCAGGTCTGACCCATTGAGACCCAAGATGTCCTCTTATGTAAGAGACACCTGGCCAATCCTCCAAGCGGTGCTTTGTTCTGACACAGGTGTAAATGTTCATCACTGTTAGATTTTGTTGTAAACTGGACGGTGAATGCATTCCTGTAAGGATTACAATCACAGTCTACTATAGGTGAGCCATTAGGTATAATGTGACCGGTGAGATGTGTGAATAGGCTGCTTTAGTCCAAAGTGTGAACACGTCATAATGAGGCATGTGTGCTATTTGTATATACAAATGTACATTTGTTTCAATTTTATCTATTTCTTTTCAGAATGCCACCAGCAAAGGAGAAATCCTCGGTACAATGTGCACAATGTAATCCAAAAGTTTGTGTCAGAAGATTTGGTTCAAGCTCTGGCAACAAATACGAATGAGTACAGCTTTCAAAATGACGAAAGATCAGTCAACACTAATACAAAAGAAATACAGGCAGCATTGGGCATGTACCTGAGGATGGAACATTACATTTTGTAAACAATTTAACCTTGCCAGAGACTGACAAGAGGGACAAACTCTGGAAACTCAGACCACAGCTTGATTCAAAACTGCCTGCAGATGGTACCAGAAAAGCACATTCCATGGACAAGATGATGATCCCCTTCAACAGGAAGTTCAGCGGCATCAAGAAGTATATGCAAGGTAATCTACGCTCATGGGGCTTTGAAGTATGGGTGAAAGCTGGAATCTCTAGCATGATGCTTGACTTTGATGTTTACCAAGGGAGCAACAATGAAGTACGAGTCAAATCTAAACTTGGATTGTCAGGTGGTGTTGTAATGAAGCTTGCCTCCACATTTCCAAAGGGTCAACACAACAAGATCTAGGCAGACAACCACTTCACCTCCATTCCACTGGTAGTGAAGCTCCTTGAGGAAGGAATGCATTATGTGTGAACAGCCAGGCAAATGCATCTACCGAACAGTAATCTTTACATGCGAAGAGCTTGAAGAAGAAGGGCAGAGGAAGCTTTGACCACAGAGTGGTGGGGAAACAACATCTGTGCTGTCAAATGGTACGACAACAGGGCGAAGACACTTGTGTCATCCTTCGCTGGACCAGGACCTGTTCAGGAGATTCAAGACTGGGACAAAGCCGCCAAAACCTACATTGACGTTAGAAAGGCTTCCATTGTGGGCATCTACAATAAATACATGGGAGGTGTGGATCTGTTGGACTCATTTACAGCAAATCACAAGTATGCACTGAAATCCTGGTGGTGGTACATGTGCATCTTCTGGCACACAATCACCCTTACTGTGGTCAACGCCTGGCTCCTCTACAAGCAGCACAGCCTATGCTCTCAGGATGCCAAAGAAGGAGATACTGAACATGAGAAAGTTCCAAGCACAGCTGGCTTCCTCTCTCATTCCGGTAATGATCTATTTGTGCTATTTACCTTGTTCGTGAAAAATCAGACTGGTATTTGAGATGTACATAAATTGAGACATTTGTTCTTTAGATTCTAATCAGGTGGACAGAACACTGAAAACGCCAAAGAGAGGACGGCCATTTTCAGCCAACAAGAGCCCAGAGACAGGAGCCCTCTGAATGGTGGAAAGAGACCACACATGGATGATGGAAGTCCAAAGGCTCCCTCTTCTAAAAAGTCACGCAAACCACCGCCCATGGACGTGCGCATGGACCAAACTGGACATTTCCCCCTGAAGACAAAGAGAGGGCTCTGCAGATGTTGCAGTAAAGGGTACACCAATACCCAAAGCAGCAAGTGTGATGTCCGCCTCTGTTTTTCAGAGGACAGGAACCGTTTCTGGGATTACCACTATAGAGAAGAGAGAACACTGCAGACGTTGCACTGTTAACAATGTAAATAAATAAAGTTCTTATTTGTTGGAATAAACAACTCTTCATAATAACATGACTGAGATTATTATTCATTTTATACACTGGTTTGAGACTTGGATGAAGGAACACTAGCAGTTAGGAGGTATTTAAGGTGATGGGAGGTTGTTGGAGTTTTTCAACTGGTCACTGTACACCTCTGTCGTTGGAGGAAATACAAGCATTTTTCCTGAATAACTCCATAAAGTGTTAAAGATTTTTTTTCTTTAATATAACAGACTTCTTATTGATATAAAGGTGATAATGGCAGTCTTTCCCCAACCCTGGCACCGGACAGTAAGGAGGGATATTAAAAATATTTAAATATTTAAAGTGTTGAGTCAAGGAAGCAAAGTAAAAGACCTTAAAAAATAAATGAGCAACTCTGGCCCAAAAGAGAGAGCAAGCCCCAAAGCTTACCTCTCTTTTTTGCAGACACACTCCGGTTTTGGACTTGTGATGTGGAGGGACATTCTTGCAGGGATGACACGCTGACCTCATCTTCTGACCCCTCTTCTCTTGGCATACTGACATCTGGACAAAGAAATAACTTTATTGTAGTATACACAACATGAAATACGTAATAGCCGTCAGTACAGTGGTTGTGTTATTTTATAAAATAATTCAGTTTATTTATATAGCCCCGATTCACAACAGATGTCGTCTCAAGGCACTTAACAAGAAGTCAGTATATGGGATTTGTGTCCCTTACAGAGACACTGTTTATTTCATCCCATCTCCTATCGTCCTAAATTCTTCTCAAGTGACTAGTGACGTGAAAATATTAGTTTTCATGTTAGCCCAGGGATGAGCAACTCCAGTCCTCAAGGGCCACTATTCTGCAGGTCTGAGGTGTTTCCCTGCTTCAACACACCTGATTCAAATTAAATAGATCAAACAGCTTGTTGCCAAGCTCTGCAAAATGAATCAGGTGTGTTGCAGCAGGGAAACATAAAAGGACCTAAAGGATAGTGGCCCTCAAGCAGTACATTTCCTCATATAGTATACGGACGACAGACCGTTCCCACGCAGTCCACTAGTGCTGAAGTAGCTGCGCGCTGTAAAGATTGTATGTTGGACAATATAAGATGAACTGATTTCATCAGACAGAGAGCGACTGTAGTTACCATCACAAGTAGCATTAACGTTTAGGTTAGTGTGCCCTCACCTACTGTTTATAGGTTGCTCCAATCTCACGGCGCAGACTTCACGCAGGGATTGCACGGCTACTCAAACATTTGTCCTCCTCAACTGTGTACGAGTACACGGTTACAGCGAGTCGAGTACGAGTACGCAGATGAGGAGGTAACATGTCAAGACGACACGGCTGTACGAGTTTATTTGATGTCATCTAACCCGATGGCATGTGCGTTTGAGCCAGTGATGAGGAGGAGAGTTGAGAGACCCGTTTTTTGCGGAAGTTGAGGGAGCTGCAGTGGCTCCGGAGGAGAGGGTCGGCAATCCTTTGCAGTGCAAGTACAGTCACTGCGATCAACCATGGAGTCTGTTTACTGCCATGAACCAGACTTGGATAATGTGCTCAGGGAATTGTCCTGCATCACCTTATCGAGCTCATTCCAGATGTTCTGTAGTGACAGGGACGTGTTGGAGTAGCTGTGCTATCCCTGTATGAAGTCCGTGCCGAGAGATTAGAGCAACCTATAAGCAATAGGTGGGTTCACGCTAACCACAAAATGAATGCTACTTGTAATTTCAGGCAGTACTGAAGCAGTGTTCAGTTTTAAAACTGGGGTTGTGTTTGACTGATTGTGCAGCCTCTGCATCAGACAGGTCTCCTGACAGAGTTGCAGGAGAAAGAGGTGGTCAGGACAAAGAAGGGAGATGGAGTTGTTGATGTTCAATTTTTTGCCAAGTGCCGTGTGAAATGCACGAAAGGAAAGGTAAGAATTGCGTTCAAGCTCACCGGTTGAAGACACTCTCTGGTTTTGACTTTGTGATGTGGAGGTACATTCTTGCGTGGATGATATGAGCTCATCGTCTGACCCATCATCTCTTAGCATACCGACATCTGGAGAGGGAAATAACTCATGAATACACAAAATATCTAAAACGGATCATTTAGAATCAATTTAGGAACATCGTATACACATACCTTCAATATCCTCAGCTAAAGGTCCCTCCATGTCAATGGTCTCTAAAATGATAATTGATAAAAAATTGAGATTGGAAAGCTGAAACTATGGGCAATCTGCAAGAGTATACAACAGTAGTATTATCTCTCATCCCGTCACTATTACTGCCCTATGCTTTACATTGCAAATAGTTGTTTTCTGAATGCGGAAGACTAAATGTCATATATTGTGCCTTCAGGAATATAAAGTTAATTACCATTCACATCGACTTGTATTTCATCGAGGCTCTTTCCTTTGTAATCTCCTAGGCGTCCTTGTTCCATTGCGAGGAGGACTTTACTCACTTTGGCTAATTGGAGGGTGCTTTCTGGGAGCCTGTAGTGTTTCCTGTGAACAGCGATATTATGACCGAGGAAGTCTGCCAACTGGTCGAGCTCGGTGGTTTTGAGGTTCAAAACAGTAGACAGGGTAGCAATATGTTTCCTCAGTTGAATTGATTTTAGCGCTTGAGGATTTTTTATGTCACCGCATTCACTGACAAATTGCCTCATGCAGTCACAAGCCCTGAGGTAATGGGCAGATTGTGGCAATGCAAACAGATATTCATTGTCCTTCAGCACCCCACATACTTCTCTGCACTCAGTAAGAGCATCAAGTGATTCTCTCATTAATGGGGTTAGAAGAACTGGAACCTTCCTTCCTCTTTTTCCAACAATTGCTATTCGCACGAAATGCCTGCAGAGCTTCTGCTCAAGCGGTGTGAGGGCCAAATTTACATCTCCCTGTTCCTCTGATGTGTCTTTCGATAAGTATGCAGACAGGTGCATTCGGGACACTTCACCTGCTCTCCGCCGATTAAAAAGCATAACTTGAGTCAACGTTACTTTTGCAAGTTCCTTCCAATTTGTGGATGAATGATGTTCTTTTAAATCTTTGAGATGTTGCTGCTGTTTTTCTTCTAGATAGCAATGTAGCTTTTGGATATCTTGTGTAAGAGGTAAAAGTTGCGGTGCATTCCATTTGGCCCGGTTAAGCTGGGTTAATGCCTGGCCTGCAATATCAAACCTCCAACTCTCTAAATACAACTGTGCGAACTCCTCAGCATCTTTAATGGTTTCCTTATCTCTCTTTTTCAGTCCTTCGGACTTGATAAACATAGCCAACGAATGCAGGCTGTGTCCTACCTTGCGTGCAAGAGATGGACATTGGTATATCCCAGTTTCCTCACTGAATCCAGATAGGTTCTTTGCAGCTCTGACAACCTGTGAGTACTGTTCAGGTTTGATGAGTTCTTGAATGGTCCTCACACGTGTGATTTTTTTAGCTTCCAATAAAAGCCTGCCAAGTTCTCGCAGTTTTTGGCGTATATACTGGTGTTGACTGACTATCTTCTCATTCTTTTTGAACAACCTGAACCCATAATTGAGGATGCAGTTGTCTCCTTTAATTGCAACTGTGATCTCGTCCTGAATCATTACACTCAAGAACTTCCAATACGCATCTGTATATTCTGATGGAGAAGGTTCAGCGAAAGCACATAATGCCTGAACTCTATTTTTACCAGGTTTAGCATTTTTGGGTTTGAAGCTGCAGACCTTGAAATGCCGCCACATCGCTCTTCTTGAGAACAGCCCATAGCAATGAATGCAATGTGCAAATTTATGTCCGTCTGACTTTTTTACTGGTTGTTTACATGGGATTAGTTTTCCTTTTTTTTTTTCCAAAACATGACTGTTGTGCTCGAAGTTTCCCTTATTTCGTATGTAGTCCAATTGTAGTTTTCTTTCCTTTGAGTTTTTTGGTAAACTGAATGCTTTCGCAACATCCGATTCATCTTGGTGTTTACGCCATAAGTGTCTTGACATTTTCTGGACAAACTTCTTGCAATAAAAGCAGAAATGTTTCTTGTTATAGCTTCTGGATCCGTCATCTTTCTTTAAAGTTGGACTGACAATCATGTACTGCTCTTCTTCCAGGGGCACTGAAACACTGTTTTCAGAAAATGTTGCGATTTCCTTTTCATTCCCATCAACTCTGCTATTTGGAAATCTTTGTGTGGGATCATGACATCTTTCCAAAAGTCTTCTCTGGCTAAAGTCAAATTGGCTATGACTAGAGGACTCGCTTCCACTCTCTCGGGAGGATCTACTTCCACTCTCCATGGACTTAGACTTGCTCTGTCTGGAGGACTCGCTTCCACTCTTTCGTGAGGATCTACTTCCACTTTCCCGGGCTTAGACTTGCTCTGTCTGGAGGACTCGCTTCCACTCTTTCGTGAGGATCTACTTCCACTCTCCATGGACTTAGACTTGCTCTGTCTGGAGGACTTGCTTCCACTCTCTCGGGAGGATCTACTTCCACTTTCCCCGGGCTTAGACTTGCTCTGTCTGGAGGACTCGCTTCCACTCTCTCGGGCGGATCTACTTCCACTCTCCATGGACTTAGACTTGCTCTGTCTGGAGGACTCGCTTCCACTCTTTCGTGAGGATCTACTTCCACTTTCCCCGGGCTTAGACTTGCTCTGTCTGGAGGACTCGCTTCCACTCTTTCGTGAGGATCTACTTCCACTTTCCCCGGGCTTAGACTTGCTCTGTCTGGAGGACTCGCTTCCACTCTTTCGTGAGGATCTACTTCCACTTTCCCCGGGCTTAGACTTGCTCTGTCTGGAGGACTCGCTTCCACTCTCTCGGGCGGATCTACTTCCACTCTCCATGGACTTAGACTTGCTCTGTCTGGAGGACTCGCTTCCACTCTTTCGTGAGGATCTACTTCCACTCTCCATGGACTTAGACTTGCTCTGTCTGGAGGACTCGCTTCCACTCTTTCGTGAGGATCTACTTCCACTTTCCCCGGGCTTAGACTTGCTCTGTCTGGAGGACTCGCTTCCACTCTCTCGGGAGGATCTACTTCTTTCTCTGGGCTTAAACTTGCTCTTACCGGATGATGCACCTTTCTTCTTTTTTTCCTTTTCCAGGGTTAATTCCATACTGCTATCACTTTCTGTGCTTTCATCCCTGGGATTTGGAATATACTCCTCTTCGCTACCTAAGTTTGAGTCATCTGATTCCACGAGATTCATCTGAATCTTTAAAAACAAACACAAATCTGTTAATACCTATTTTTTCAAAATTACATATAAAAACCTGAGTATACTGATTGAACAGGGTCAGGATACTAAATGAAGAAAAATCTGTATGGACCATTTTCAATACAAGTACATTTTTAAATTAGAAGAATCCCCATTAGACTCACTAGCAAGAGCAACTGCCCAGCCCCAGCCCTAGACCAGCCCTAGCCCCAGCCCAACCCAGCCCTAGACCAGCCCTAGACCAGCCCTAGCCCCAGCCCTAGACCAGCCCCAGCCCTAGCTCCAGCCCTAGACCAGCCCCAGCCCTAGCCCCAGCCCTAGCCCCAGCCCTAGCCCCAGCCCTAGCCCCAGCCCTAGCCCCAGCCCTAGACCAGCCCCAGCCCTAGCCCCAGCCCTAGACCAGCCCCAGCCCTAGCCCCAGCCCTAGCCCAGCCCTAGCCCCAGCCCTAGCCCCAGCCCTAGACCAGCCCCAGCCCTAGCCCCAGCCCTAGCCCCAGCCCTAGCCCCAGCCCTAGCCCCAGCCCTAGCCCCAGCCCTAGACCAGCCCCAGCCCTAGCCCCAGCCCTAGACCAGCCCCAGCCAAAAAAAAAAAAAAAGACTTACGGGACGGCAAGACCTTCTTCTCAGCTTCTGTGAAACCCTTTCAGGATTAAAAAAAGGAGTCTCCTCTGCACTGTCACTACTTGAATCATGGAGACCGTGTGTAAAATCTTGTACTCTATCCATCTGCAAAAAGGGAGACATGGAGATGTTTTGTTGTATGATTGCTGTATTTTTAATTGATAGGGAGACCATTCAGGGGTTGTCAGGTGAGCTAGACACCTATGAAAATTATTGACCAATATTACCCCTCCATCAACCTGCTGAGGCCCATGTCCAAACTGCCTTCCAGGTGAAGTAAACGTTGACAAAAATATATATATATATATATATATATATATATAAAAAAAAGAGTAACATTTCAGTTTTCATCCATTTAATTGTTAAAATTAATGACTTCACAAGAATGATTCATCATAATAATATAGTGTCATTCCTGTAGACATGGAACTACTCCAGAGAGAGGGAGAGATTAGTCAATAATTTTCCAAAGTGTCTTCCTCACCTCACAATTGTCTCCCTATCAATTAAAAATCAGCAATTAGTCAGAAAAGAAAAGAAGAGTTGAGCTTCTCTAATAAATGATTACTGATCGATTGTTGGTGAACTCTATTTAATTGATAATTTAATGCACCAGGTGAGGCGGAGGACTCAACCAGATTTTGGCAACAGAGACCGGCCACTAGGCACGTTGTATCTTTTTTTTTTTTTTTAAACACACCTGAGCGCTGATCACTGGACATCACTCCTGCAGGTGTTTATGCCAGTCCAATAGATTCAATTTCAAATGAGTCCATTTAAATTCAGATTTTAAAAGCAATTGTTCAAAACAATCGATTCAGGTTCAAAGTAAATGATTCCCATTCAAATATAAAATAATTCAAATTCACTTACTAGTGGCACAAAAATTATCACATAAGCAAGTTAATTATATTGTTAAAATGTGTTTCGGGGCATACCAGAATGCTTTTTGTGCGTCTCAGCCGTGGAACAAGTTCATCATCCGATTCATTGTTGGAATGGTTGCTTGAAGAAGCCTCATCACAAGTTTCTTTCACAACAGTTTCATCTGAATTGTACAAATGATCTGAAACATCTGGGCCAATATCATTCTGCCCTATAATAACATCCAGGTGTGGGGTGGGAGGTTCGTTTTCCATACCATCCTCATCAGTTTCATCACTATCTGGATAATCAACCAGTGAAAATCCTTGGACAGTAAATACCTAAAAAATAAACAAAAATGTATTAAGTATGGAATTAGAAAGGTTGGCCAAAGAAACATGGCATGGTCTGACTAAAAATCTAAATCCAGAAATGTGAACACCAGCCCTTTTAGACAGTGTAGAATTATAAATGTTAAAATCAGAGTACAGTTATACTGAAGTATTACAATACTATCATATAGTTGCCTGAGGAAGACCATTTGGATCCCCACGTTGGTAACACTTTATTTGAAATGGTGTGCATAAGACTGACATAACACTGTCATAAACTTGACATAACACCTGTCATGAACATGAAGCAGTCTTTATGAATGTTTATGACTTTTGTCATTAAGTGTCATTCGGTAAATTATGACACTTTTAATGCAAAGTGTGTGACGTTACCTGGCCTTTAACAGCCAATATAAAGCCACATAAGCATTGGTCCACTTTAGTAATAGAACGCCACATACATGTCAGCATAGATGAAGTGTTTGAAAGTACTTTTACCTCTGAGCAGGTCTGATCTGGGTTTGGTCCATCATTTAGCATCTGAGGAACAGGGCTGGTCTCATTCTCTACTGCGGCAGCAGGAGTCTGAAGGCCTTTCACCTGAAATAGACAGACAAGAAGAGACTCAGAACTGTATTAAGAGACATTCACAGGCTAATACAGTCATCTAATGGTGAAACAGCACTGAACTTTGTGGACTAAAAAGCAGCTCACGTCTATTCAAGGAGTTTGCAGGGGATCAAATGAAAATATTTCTTTAAAACATCTAACAGCTCAGATACAGTATACAATTATGAATGTTAAAATCATAGTTGAGGTCTTGTCAGGTGTTGCTATAGTGCATTAAAAACACTTACAGTAAGAACTGGACGGAAGGGCCCCACAAGGGTCTGACTAAAGACATACGAGTGTGTAAAGGAGAGACTAGAGAAACAAGTGTATTTGGAAGATGGAAGGAAGGACCCCATAAGGACATGACTGGAAACATGACGTTGTGTGTGACATTACCTGGCCTTTAACAGCCAATATAAAGCCACATAAGCATTGGTCCACTTTAGTAATAGAACACAACCACATACATGTCAGCATAGATGAAGTGTTTGAAAGTACTTTTACCTCTGAGCAGGTCTGATCTGGGTTTGGTCCATCATTTAGCATCTGAGGAACAGGGCTGGTCTCATTCTCTACTGCGGCAGCAGGAGTCTGAAGGCCTTTCACCTGAAATAGACAGACAAGAAGAGACTCAGAACTGTATTAAGAGACATTCACAGGCTAATACAGTCATCTAATGGTGAAACAGCACTGAACTTTGTGGACTAAAAAGCAGCTCACGTCTATTCAAGGAGTTTAGAGTGGATCAAATGAAAATATTTCCTTAAAACATCTAACAGCTCAGATACAGTATGCAATTATGAATGTTAAAATCATAGTTGAGGTCTTGTCAGGTGTTGCTATAGTGCATTAAAAGCACTTACAGTAAGAACTGGACGGAAGGGCCCCACAAGGGTCTGACTACAGACATACGAGTGTGTAAAGGAGAGACTAGAGAAACAAGTGTATTTGGAAGATGGAAGGAAGGACCCCATAAGGACATGACTGGAAACATGACGGTGTGTGTGACGTTACCTGGCCTTTAACAGCCAATATAAAGCCACATAAGCATTGGTCCACTTTAGTAATAGAACGCCACATACATGTCAGCATAGATGAAGTGTTTGAAAGTACTTTTACCTCTGAGCAGGTCTGATCTGGGTTTGGTCCATCATTTAGCATCTGAGGAACAGGGCTGGTCTCATTCTCTACTGCGGCAGCAGGAGTCTGAAGGCCTTTCACCTGAAATAGACAGACAGAGACTCAGAACTGTATGAAGAGACATTCACAGGCTAATACAGTCATCTAATGGTGAAACAGCACTGAACTTTGTGGACTAAAAAGCAGCTCACGTCTATTCAAGGAGTTTGAGGGGATCAAATGAAAATATTTCCTTAAAACATCTAACAGCTCAGATACAGTATGCAATTATAAATGTTAAAATCATAGTTGAGGTCTTGTCAGGTGTTGCTATAGTGCATTAAAAGCACTTACAGTAAGAACTGGACGGAAGGGCCCCACAAGGGTCTGACTAAAGACATGTGAGTGTGTAAAGGAGAGACTAGAGAAACAAGTGTATTTGGAAGATGGAAGGAAGGACCCCATAAGGACATGACTGGAAACATGACGGTGTGTGTGACATTACCTGGCCTTTAACAGCCAATATAAAGCCACATAAGCATTGGTCCACTTTAGTAATAGAACGCCACATACATGTCAGCATAGATGAAGTGTTTGAAAGTACTTTTACCTCTGAGCAGGTCTGATCTGGGTTTGGTCCATCATTTAGCATCTGAGGAACAGGGCTGGTCTCATTCTCTACTGCGGCAGCAGGAGTCTGAAGGCCTTTCACCTGAAATAGACAGACAGAGACTCAGAACTGTATGAAGAGACATTCACAGGCTAATACAGTCATCTAATGGTGAAACAGCACTGAACTTTGTGGACTAAAAAGCAGCTCACGTCTATTCAAGGAGTTTGCAGGGGATGAAATGAAAATATTTCTTTAAAACATCTAACAGCTCAGATACAGTATACAATTATGGATGTTAAAATCATAGTTGAGGTCTTGTCAGGTGTTGCTATAGTGCATTAAAAGCACTTACAGTAAGAACTGGACGGAAGGGCCCCACAAGGGTCTGACTAAAGACATGTGAGTGTGTAAAGGAGAGACTAGAGAAACAAGTGTATGATGGAAGGAAGGACCCCATAAGGACATGACTGGAAACATGACGGTGTGTGTGACATTACCTGGCCTTTAAAAGCCAATATAAAGCCACATAAGCATTGGTCCACTTTAGTAATAGAACGCCACATACATGTCAGCATAGATGAAGTGTTTGAAAGTACTTTTACCTCTGAGCAGGTCTGATCTGGGTTTGGTCCATCATTTAGCATCTGAGGAACAGGGCTGGTCTCATTCTCTACTGCGGCAGCAGGAGTCTGAAGGCCTTTCACCTGAAATAGACAGACAAGAAGAGACTCAGAACTGTATGAAGAGACATTCACAGGCTAATACAGTCATCTAATGGTGAAACAGCACTGAACTTTGTGGACTAAAAAGCAGCTCACGTCTATTCCAGGAGTTTAGAGTGGATCAAATGAAAATATTTCCTTAAAACATCTAACAGCTCAGATACAGTATGCAATTATGAATGTTAAAATCATAGTTGAGGTCTTGTCAGGTGTTGCTATAGTGCATTAAAAGCACTTACAGTAAGAACTGGACGGAAGGGCCCCACAAGGGTCTGACTACAGACATGTGAGTGTGTAAAGGAGAGACTAGAGAAACAAGTGTATTTGGAAGATGGAAGGAAGGACCCCATAAGGACATGACTGGAAACATGACGGTGTGTGTGACGTTACCTGGCCTTTAACAGCCAATATAAAGCCACATAAGCATTGGTCCACTTTAGTAATAGAACGCCACATACATGTCAGCATAGATGAAGTGTTTGAAAGTACTTTTACCTCTGAGCAGGTCTGATCTGGGTTTGGTCTATCATTTAGCATCTGAGGAACAGGGCTGGTCTCATTCTCTACTGCGGCAGCAGGAGTCTGAAGGCCTTTCACCTGAAATAGACAGACAAGAAGAGACTCAGAACTGTATTAAGAGACATTCACAGGCTAATACAGTCATCTAATGGTGAAACAGCACTGAACTTTGTGGACTAAAAAGCAGCTCACGTCTATTCAAGGAGTTTGCAGGGGATGAAATGAAAATATTTCTTTAAAACATCTAACAGCTCAGATACAGTATACAATTATGAATGTTAAAATCATAGTTGAGGTCTTGTCAGGTGTTGCTATAGTGCATTAAAAGCACTTACAGTAAGAACTGGACGGAAGGGCCCCACAAGGGTCTGACTACAGACATGTGAGTGTGTAAAGGAGAGACTAGAGAAACAAGTGTATTTGGAAGGAAGGACCCCATAAGGACATGACTGGAAACATGACGGTGTGTGTGACATTACCTGGCCTTTAACAGCCAATATAAAGCCACATAAGCATTGGTCCACTTTAGTAATAGAACGCCACATACATGTCAGCATAGATGAAGTGTTTGAAAGTACTTTTACCTCTGAGCAGGTCTGATCTGGGTTTGGTCCATCATTTAGCATCTGAAGAACAGGGCTGGTCTCATTCTCTACTGCGGCAGCAGGAGCTTGGGTTTTTTTCAACTGGATTGCAGATAAAGAAGAACTCATTTTAAAAACACATCAAAGACCAAATATTAAATGCATTTCCATAGACAGTCAAGAGTAATATTGGACACATGGTTAATATTGGAGAAATACAAAATTTGCTTTTGCAAAAAAAAAAAGAAAACTCTAAACTTAATCTAACCAACTCACCTTACTGCGCCAAGGCCATTTTGAATCACCATAGTTGTAATCAATTTCATCTCCTATTTCTATTTTCTTCAGAGAAAATAGGCACAAATGTGGTTTGTTGTCAACTATGATTTTTTTCATAACGCAATTCGGATTTTGGTGGTTGTCGTTGACCAAACGTCCTAGAGAAAAATCGTCTTGCGATGCATCCAGGCTGAAAAGTATCAGAAAAATGGTAACAGTTTTACATCTTTTTAAAAGTTTTATTGAAAGAGTTATTTTTAAAAGAATTTAAGAGTATTTGTGCTTAATTCATTCATCAAGTATTAAACCCTTGTTTCAGAGTTAACTCGTAATTTCTATAAATCAATAAAAAAACATCCATCTTTCAATGTTTACCATAAGTGATGATTCTGCCACTGAAAGTCAAAGAGAAATGTGCTTTCAATCTCTGAGTATTTTCTTGACTTGCTTTCCTCCTGTGTGAGGAGTTTACCCCTGTACTCCAACACGAAGTCCCCGGGTTCAATGGGTTGTGTGGCAAACACTCCTCTTCCTACAATAATATATAATAATTAAACATTTCATTCTGGGACTCAAAAAGAGATACTACAGTATTTTCAAAGTGAGGATGAGGTTCTTGCGTCTAGTCAGTGTATTACCTGCAGACAATGATCACAGATTAAGAACGGACCAAACTGTCAGGGACCAGTCGATTAAATTCATTTTTAATGACGCAGTTCCTACAACCTTTCCCACTGGCTTAACATTAGGTGTCTGTGCTAATCATTTTATCATTTGGGATCAATCAAGATGAAAATTTGCCTTAAACTCTAAACTGCAGCTAGTCTACCACAGCAATAGGCATCATCCTGACACTTCAGTAGAATATTCTGACAAAGCACTCTGACAATCTTGCCTGGGCTGTAAATTATCACACTCACTTCGATCACTGTCTGTCTTTGACAAAGTCAAAAACTGTACCTGGTCATTACATCAACAACAATACTTTTTTTGCTTCTGAAATGCACAAGTTGTGTCAATGAATCTTCTGCAACTTACCTTTGTAATGGTCAATGAATCTCGGCATAAACCCATCCTTGTCAGTGCAAGACAGAATGTATGTCTTTGCATCGTCTATAGGCTTTTTCCTCCTCCTTATGGACATAATGGCTCTGTGAAAATAATTGTAATTCGTAGTTAGTTGAGGCAAATCTCACAAAAAGGTATTCTATTGTGAAAAATAAATAAATAAACAGACATTCATACAAACATTGCAACAGCTGTGTAGCTTTGCTATTGCAGGATGCATATTGTTTAACATCAAACACGGGCTAATGAAATATGCAAATTCTGAAATATGCACAATGAAAGCTGACCGAGCCTGTTGAAACTGAGAAGTTAACTTGTTAGATGATAACCATGTTATGCTGCACAGACACTCAGTAATCAATTTAAACTAGGGCTGTCAAACTTAACTTCTGGTACAGCAGCATGGCGGCGTTGCCACATGACCATTGACTGACAGCATCACATCCTTCCTCATACATACGCGCATGGATGGTTATGGGGGGGACGGGGTCCAGGGTAGGCCGGTACCACCCAGACAAAAAGCTTGGTGAAATATATATATATATATATATATATATATATATACACTGTCTACCAGTCAAAAGTTTTAGATCAGTAAGATTTTTTATGTTTTTAAATGAAGTGTCTTCTGCTCACCAAGGCTGCTTTATTTGATGAAAATTAAAAAAACAAACGGTAATATTGTGAAATATTATGACAATTTAAAATGACTGTTTTCTATTTTTATACATTTTAAAATGTAATTTGAAAGCTGAATTTTCAACATCATTACTGTTGCTGATTACACATCAGTTTTCAGTGTCACATGATCCTTCAGAAATCATTCTAATATGCTGATTTTATGCTCAAAAAACAAATTATTATTTTCAACGTTGAAAACAGTCGTGTACCATTTCACCCCAAAATTCTATGATGAACAGAACGTTCAAAAGAACAGCATTTATTTAAAATATAATCTTTTCTAACATTATAAATGTCTTTACTGTAACATTTGATCAATTTAACTCATGCTTGATGAACACAAGTATTTTCTCATTTCTTTCCCCCAAAAATAAAAAAATAAATTCTTACTGACCCCAAACTTTTGAATGGTAGTGATTAATGTTACAAAAGCTTTCCATTTCAGATAAATTCTGTTTATTTACACTTTCTATTCATCAAAGAATCCTGAAATAAAAATGTAAAAAAAAAAAAACTGTTGCTGATGATGCTGTAAATTCAGCTTTGATCACAGGAATAAATTACACTTGACTATATATTCACATAGAAAACTGCTGTTTTAAATTGTAATATTCCACAATATTACTATTTTTTATCAAATAATAGCAGCCTTGGTGAGCAGAAGAGACTTCTTTTAAAAAACATAAAAAATCTTACCAATCTAAAACTTTTGCAAAGTAAATTTGGAAAAAAAATTATATTATTTTCTCTCAACTGTCCTGCTCTAACGAACCACCTGCGGGTAGGATGTTATTCCAAAACGGCACCGTACATTAGCTTCAGTCCTGCGTTAGCTTCTGGCTAACCTCCATTAGCGAGTCCTGCCCTGTCTTGTTTACAATTCACAACCGATTCTACCTTTAACGACACGATTTCACTGCACCCCGTCTCTGTCCCGCTGTCATGTCCGTGGTGACGTTATTAGATTATGCCAACAGCTAATATTATGTCGCTAAAGTTAGCTACATGGCAGCTAAACGAGGTAGCAAACATCACGATGTAACGCCAAAATATGAACTCACCATAAAAACCTCACAATTCACAACCAACTCTACTTTTAACGACACTTCACTCCACCCCGTCTCTGCCCCGCTGTAATGTCCGTGGTGACATGTTATTAGGTTAAGCTAACTGCTAATAGTAATATTATGCCGCTAACATTAGCTAAATTGCAGCCACAAACATCACGATAAACTATAACGCCGAAATAAACTCACCATGAAAACCATGCCTAGCTTACCTGATGGATGCAGAGGTCGGTGTTTGTAAAAATGTTATGATTTCCAACCCGTCTTCTTCTGTCTTCAATCTTCTATCCTTGAAGTCGTCTTCTTCTTCTACGTTACTTGTGCAATTTCCGCAGTTTTCCTTACTTTCGCGGGAATCGCGGCTGATTGTACAGTGCTGTAATTTCATTGGCTAAAGGTTTCAGATTCCCGCGGTGTGTATTCGATTTCGCGGGAAGTGTAAACCTGACTTCCGGTGAAAAAAAAGCTCGACGATACACACCTACACACAATTACCCACTTTTTGCTACCTTATGGGCCACTTTTTAGAGATGGAAAAAAAAGCAATGGGAGCATCAGGGGAAGCTGCTGAGCTTATTTAAATTGAAATCGGAGTGGGGCCCACCATTTTGGGCCCCACTCCGATTTTGGGACTCCTTAGGTGGGTGTGCTCCCACCGATGGGGACCCACACCGACGTATTTGTAAGTACACACACACACACACACACACACACACACACACACACACACACACAATCTACTCCAATCCGCTCCTTTGGAATTGCCTCTACAGAGGGACAGTATATAATGCCCTTGTATTGGCTGTGCTGTCTCCACTGTCCTGAACTGCCTGTATTTCTTGCACAAGTTGTCAGAATCAGAAACTGAATCAGAAAGAGCTTTATTTGCCAAGTATGTGTACACAATTTGTCTTGGTTACAGGAGCTTCCAGTGCACATACATAGTGCAAACAGACATAAGAATTACACAGTAGAAATTAAATACAACAAATAATATAAGAAACAAATATTTAAAGGGGGGGGGGGGGTTGACTGCTATTTCACTTTTTTCATTTTAAATGGTGTGTAATGTTACTGTTGGTGCATGAACAGCAAAGTTGCAGCGCTGAAAGTTCAATGTAAGCAGAGATATCGTCTTTTAAAAATCAGCAAGTATATTGCCTACAAAAACGACTCGATTGGGGCTACAGCTGGGTTTTAGACGTCACTAACCCATAGATTTGCATCAACCCTCCCTCCGGATAATGCAGAAAAGGGGATGCGCATATTTCTGCGGCACGTCGAGTGTGTTGTGATCACCCAGCTGTCAGGTCTCCTGTGCTCCGGCTTCCCACGGACGCTGTACTTCGTCAACAATGGATACAATTTATGTTTGATTATGTTCCTGAAAATGACGATCGTAATTTAGCTCTCTGTGCTGCGCATTTTACGGAAGACAGCTTCCAGAATCTCCACGAATTCAACACCGGATTCAACAAGAAACTGTTACAAAACATGAAGCAGATCCATTTTTAAAACCAGAGGCAGCAGTTGTTGGGCCACAACCTGTAAGTAGGCTAAGACTTAATCATTTAAATGTATTTGCATGTATAATTTCAGATGTAATGTTTTAGTTTTGTCAAATGCCAGCGCTGTGTAGCACCAGTCTCACACCACTTATCGTGCTACTGGACCAGTTCTAGGCTCTAAGGAGTGGGGAGCAAAAATAATGAACACACCAGAGACCGTTTCTTTAAATACAAAAGCTGGCAGTTTACTGAATGTAGAACAAAAAAAATAATAATGCACAGTTCAATAACAAAATAAAACAAAAGAAATAAAAATATTCCCTGCAGGTTCCCAATATCCCGTATTATTGAAGTAAATAAAATGAAATTATATTTCACTCTAAGTTCAGTTTTTGGTTCACTTAAGTCACTTTAGTCGAGTTAATCTAAGTTAAACCAGTCTTTTCCTAATTACTCTTATTTTAGAATTTCCTTTTAGAATTATTATTTTCTTCCTGAGTTAACTCTCTATTTCTGTCTTTTAAAGGTAGGAAAATACCTTCAAATCACAAAATCAAATCAAAGTGGACCACATTTCAAATCACATTCAACATTTGAACTCAATATGAAAAGGAATTAGAAAATAAACACTTTAAATTCAAGTCTCAATGTGAGTTCAATTGTTCAGTTCGGTCAAAAGATTCAGTTCGATTGTCCAGTTCAGTCAAAAGACTCAGTTCAATTGTCCAGTTCAGTTCAAAACAATTCCTGACACTCCTACCACTCTGCAGCAAGTCACCATACGCGTGAGATTTCCTCAAAGACGCCATGGAATGGGCTATATGCACGCATAAATTCCGCATTTGACGCAAGGATGCTCGTCCATTTCCGGTTGTGGAGATTAAAGCGGAGGAAAACCGAGGAAAACGGGATTATGGGAGAGTCTTCAAAATTTACTGTCCTTTCGTCTTTGAAACGAAACGTACATACGTTTAGATGCAATTTTATATATATAGTTATGTTTATTTAATATCATTTTAAAAAGAAGCATAAACACAACGAGGGGTGTCTGTTTTATCTGTTTTTGTGACTAACGTTTCTTTAGTATAACCATGGAGTATAAAATTCAATATAAATTCTCGGTATTGCATTGGACTCTACGATCGGCGGAAGTTATCGAACATCCTTACACCTTCTCCGGAAATACCGCCGTGCATAGAGCCCATTGATGAGTTGAAAATCCGGGTCTGGCTCGCCATCTTGAATCCTGTCCGCGGACGTGCGCGCCCGCACACTGCAGACCGATCGTCGCTCTGACCGAGCTTCAAACCAAGCAAAAAAACCTGACCTGTATAACAGGTCATAAACACAATAAATCTCTTTTTAAATACTCAAATAACACAAATACAGATAATATTTCACAGTCTCTGAGTCATGACGTCACTGTTGCGATTCACTTTTCACTTCAGAAAATGGCGAAGGTGCAGTCTCTTTTAACTCACAACTACTGCACACATCCTTCATTTGCAAAACATTAATTCTCTTTTTATAACATTCACAGTTCCCATAAACAAATTATTAACTGGTATACAGTTTAAAACAACTACGTTTCAGTATTTCACCACAAAAGAAAGAAAAAAAATGCAAGATCACAAAATTGCAAGAAAATAAAGTACAAACTCATCAAAACCGGTGTGGATCAGTTCACATAAAATCCCTGTCAGTTCCCGACCAGGCAAATTATGATTTCGTTCAACTGCAAAACTTTTCAATCTTTTCTCTGCTTATTAAAAACAGTTTGTTCTCCTCGTTCTCTCCTCCGCTCT